GGGGGGTTTCTCTTCCGAAAGCCTCGTCGTTTCCTTGACCGTCACAAAATCCTCTTGAAAGATGAACACTCGTGTTGAATTAACTGAACATAGGATTGGAGAACATCATGAAGGGGGTGGGCACCAAATATCTTGAGCCTTAAATCCTTTTTTTTTCTAAAACCATGAACCAGACCACATTACAACCTTCAAAAGTCCTAATTGAAGCAAGGTTATTTTGAAAGCATACTTCAATGAGATAGTGTTCCTGACTCCCATGAATGTTCTAAATAGTTATGTTGGTATCATATGTTTTTCCTATACAAAAATAAATGATGCTCTAACTCGCAAAATTTGTGCGATATCTTTTCAAAATCTTCAAGACTTACATAACTGTTGCATTAGAATTTTCATTCTCATAATAAACTTTTCTAACTGCAAAACATTTGTTTGATATCAAGGAAGCTCACATATAAGCAGCAATGAGGAGTTTATTCTTTTGAGGCTTGAAACTATGTTGAGTAATTGGCGGATCACGTCAAGAAAAATCGTATCCAGGGGCATGTCACCTAAAGACCTTGAACATGGACATGTTGCTTCTCCCAGTTAATGTTTTCCCATCTTGTTTACTCTTTTGGGGCAAAATTTGAAGACTTTGTTGTGCCAACTACAGTCAATCCGGGGCAATCACGTCGAGATTCGATGAATCTCTCTAAGAGTTTGAAGACACCAGAGCACGGTAGATGCCAGGTCTTTTGTAAAATCCTCTTGAGACGATTTCTTCCCATCAACCATATAGCTTGGGGAATTTTTAGAAGTGAAGTTATTCGTAAGAATTGTCGTGCATCACGCAGCTTATCAACAGTAAACTTGGGGCATCCAAAATTAATCCCAGGGGCAATCCAGATTTATCAAGATATGTTTTTCATACATTATCAGAGGGTGGTGTTCCCAGTATCTCCAACTAAGCAAGACTTCTTTCCAGCTGAAACTTTGTTTGTGTTGTTATCCTTTCAATGGATTGTTTGCAATAGAAGACTGGACTTTGGGTTTTCTACCTGAAAATATCTTCCTCTCCAGAGATATTTAAGCCTGGTAAAAGGACCTTGCTCCAATGATGACCTGTGTTTTATCTCTAGTAATGTTCCCATCCTGTTGAGATTAGCCTAGTGTCGAGCTGTACTATGACGTCTTATCATCTTCAGTCTATCTCCCATGTCTGTTTTGTCAGCATATACATGACATTCATTCATTCGTTCATACTTGCATCATGCACGCACATTTGTATTTGTTGATATCTTTGAGTTCGTATACCTTGGTTATGTCTATTCAAATAGCGTATTTGATCTTTCCAAATAGAATGTCAACTTAAGCAGAAAGTGCGCCTCCTTTCTAATTCCCCACTGAGTTAACTCTCGTGGAAGAATCTTGCTTCAGCTTTCCTTTTCCGTCTCTGGATAGGATAAATCCTCATTTGAGTTGTTTCCTCATTGGGTGGAGTCTTGTTTGACTATTTTCTCTCCAGTTTATTCCTGGATCGAGCTTTGTCTCTTGTGAACGATACCCTGTGGATCTCTCTAGGTTGTGAGACCTAGATGGAGAGTGCATTTATTTTTCAACGTAAATACTTGGTCTCCTCAAGAAGGATTTATTCATGGTTCCCCATTGAGGATGAACTTTATTCCCCAGCAGTGTTATCACAACCTTCTTCTGGAATATCGACATGACAACAAGCGACTGACTCTTTATTTGAGCAGTTTGATTATTTCTGATTTCTCTATGACAAATGGCGGTCTCTTCATGAGCAGTTTGTCCATCCTCGATGAAATTATTGATTCTCACCTCCAGAAATATCTTCATGATATTTTATGGGTATCTTTGAGAAAACAACAAGTGGCGGTCTCTTCATGAGCAGCTTGTACATAAAACGGCAAGTGGCAGCTTCTTCATGAGCAGCTTGTACGTTAGTATTTTTGGAAGACAACAAGTGGCAGCTTATCTATTTGAGCAACTTGTGGGTTATTGGCAACAAGTGGCGGACTCTTCATGAGCAGCTTGTGTGTTTTAATATTCTTTGAAGACAGCAAGTGGCGGACTCTTCATGAGTAGCTTGTGTGTTTTAATATTCTTTGAAAACATCAAGCGGCGGTCTCTTCATGAGCAACTTGTATGTTATTGATACCTTAGAGAAAACAACAAGCGACAGTCTCTTCATGAGCAACTTGTTTGTTATTGTCACCTTTGAAAACAACAAGCGGCGGTCTCTTCATGAGCAACTTGTGTGTTATTGGTAATTTTCAAAAGAAAACAACAAGCGGCGGTCTCTTCATGAGCAACTTGTGTGTTATTGGTAATTTTGAAAAGAAACAGCAAGCGACAGTCTTTTCATGGACAACTTGTATGTTATCAACACTTTTAAAAACAGCAAGCGGTAGTCTCTTCATGGACAACTTGTATGTTATCAACACTTTTATAAACAGCAAGCGGTAGTCTCTTCATGGACAACTTGTATGTTATCAACACTTTTGAAAACGGCAAGTGGCGGTCTCTTCATGAGCAGCTTGTACGGAAAATGGCAAGTGGCAGCTCTTCCTGAGCAGCTTGTGGGTTATAAGCAACAACTGGCAGTTCTTCATGAGCAGCTTGTGTACTTTAATATTCTTTGAAGACAGCAAGTGGAAGCTTCTTTATTTAAGAAGCTTGTATGTCATAACACCTTTGAAAGGAAGCAAGTGGCGGCCTCTTTATTTGAGCAGCTTGTGTATCCCCAACAATAATGTCTACTCAGCAAATGGCATCCCTTTCGGAAAAGTCCCGTGGGGAAGTTTGTTATTTTATCCTTTTCAAGCGATATCTTGGTTAAAGAAGAAATATATTACCGTTCTTGGTAAAATTCAGAAATCAGAGATGTTTATCTCCAGCCACAGTGCTGATGTCAATCATTCTCCAGTCTCAGTACTGATGTCCATCATTTCCTTTTCCAGTTACAGTGCTGATGTCAATCATTCTCCAGTCTCAGTGCTGATGTCAATCATTTCCCTTCTCTAGTCTCAGTACTGATGTAAATCATTTTCTTTTCCAGTCTCAATACTGATGTAAATCATTCATTTCTTCCCTCAAAGTTATTCTTTAATAAGAGTCTCTCATTTGAAGTCTATGACTTTGTTTCCCCAGTGGAGTTATAATCTCTTCCCCAGTGGGATTACTGTATAATGTGCTTGGTTTCTCCAACAGTAGTTTGCCTCATACGGAATCCTTCCTCATTAAATTCAAAATGTTACATTCATATCAGATCATAAACATAATTGCGGTATCTTATGACCAAAAATTATGTATTCTATATTTAAGTCCCTTCGATCTCGTCGAAATGAAGATTCCAATCTTCATATCTCCGGATAGAAGAAACTTAAATAGGGGCATCTGTCATACCCTAATTTTTGACCTAAGATCCCGCATTCCATCCGCATCATTGCATGGCAAGAGTTCACAAGCAATTCGACCTATTTTTGCCAATTCCCGAGTCAGATTTCAAAAATTCATAACTTCTTCAAGTTTCAATATTTTGAGGGGTTATTTTTTGCATATGATTTTTCCTGACACCATCTACAATTTTTCTTTACAAGACAAGAGATGATTATGCATTGAAAAGCCACGAAAAAGTTATTAACGTTCGAAGTTGTTTCACGAATTTAATGGAATTTGATTCTTAATTTTGGACTATGTTTTATCCGACCATAAATTTTACACTTTCTCTTCTTTTATTTTTAATTCCATGAAAAATCATAAAAAAAATATATTTAGTTCATGTCATCTTAATTTTATTTACATTATTATTCAAAATATCAAAAAAAAGTAGTCTCTTCAAGTTTCATTTAGATTTTTATTCTTAAGTCAAAATTATAGTCTTCTAGATTTAATTTAGTAAAAATCTCAACAAAAAAAAATGTCTTAGCATTATTTTATTTTAGCATTTCACTTTAATCACAAAAAATATATAGTTAATATCTTTTCCTTTTAATTCTTTTAGTTATTATAATTTTCATTTTCTTTCTTTCAATATTAATCTTGATTTGGTTCTAATTTTAATTCAATTTTTTAGTTGAGTTATTATTAAAATTAAAATTAATTTTAATTTCTCTTTAATTTTCATGTTTTGGAAATTTTTAGTTTAATATTTTTATTTTTTATTTTATGTTATTATTATTGTTATTATTATGCTATTCCTCTCCTTGTAAAAAATGTCCAAACAATAAAATTAGTCCAAAACCATGCTATTGTCCCTATCCTAACTGTCCATAAAACCCAAACATGCTACACAACAAAACTTGCTGCTACTTCACTCCAAAACCTGCATAAAAACCAGTCTGCAAACAACCTTTTTACTACCTTTGCTGTCCAAAAAGCTTGCCCAAAATGAAATCACAAATCCCTGCATCAAGAAAGCACAAGGAAGTTGACATAAACCAGAATTCAACTGATATTTGGCTCCAATTTTCCCTCCAATTCTATCATACACTCACAATAAAAACAAAAGCAAATGGTGAAGAGTTGAGGGGGGGTTATAACCTAATTCCTGCAATAGTAGTAAAAAAAACAACAAAGAATACAACAACACCCTCTCACAACAACGTAACATCACCTCACCCTCCGCCTCCGTGACCCTTCCACACTTTCATCAACTTCCACCCTTCAATCCCTTACCCACCTACTGTCTAGTTTCGCGAACACACAACCCGCCTGTTACTTCCATTTCCGCTAGCAATCCCAAACCTCTCCACGCGAACTGCAACAGCATACTAACACATCCCAATTTCCGCTGTAAAACTGCCAGCAACCCCCTTACATCACAAACCCAATCTTCAAACCACCTCACAGCTCACAGCATAAACTCACTCCCTGTGGTGTTCCAAGCGTTTGGCATATTCCACTTGCTGTTTTAAAAAAACCACATTAATGATACCCCTCAATAGTTCAATTTCTCAAACATCATTCTCCACCTCTTTCTCTAACCACACTTCATCATGCACAAAAGCAGTTCCGGTTCACTAGGCCCAGATGGCCTCGACCTAACCAAAGCCTTCTTCCTTCATCGATTTTTCGACCCATCACCGTAACATCATCACCGAACCACCATCAGTGACCTCTATCTAATCTTCATCAATAATTCTGCAAATTCCATTACCACTTCACTTCTGTTATCTGATTCACCCTTTACCTTCAATCTTCTCCGCTTACAGCGACCAAATCCTTATTTCCTTTTCTCTACCCATCACCACATTACCTCCTGCCTCTTACCGTTTAAACTCAGCCACATCGAAACAACATCTACTCACCATGTTTCAGATTCACTAAATAAATTATGACAACCATCTTCAAATGTCCTGAAACACATTCACCATTCGACATATTCACCATTGCCTAAACTCACCCACACTTGCAACTAATAAGTTCTCAGCAAGAAGATTTCACAGAGAAGAAAAGGAGAAGAAGGATTAACGAAAGTAGAGACTGAAAGAGGCGACATACCTTTGAACTTTATCAGAATCAAAAATCAGCGGATTATCTCTAGGTTGTAAGTTTTCTTGCCTTTTTTTTATGTATTCTTGATACTGATGTGATCGTGGATAAGCGAAAAAGATGAGCAAATCCTTTGTCGTTGTTATTCTGATACGATAGAGAGTTATGGGGGCATAATTTCTTTTGAGTAGAGGAAATAATCGTGAGAGACATGAAGTTTTCACGGTTTAGAAGAAAGTTGAGTCTGAGACCATTTTCACGTGAGAGAAGAAAATAACGTCAGGGTTAATTGAATTATTTATTGGGAATTAAAAATTAATGGTGACTTTTTCCATTTCCCAAAGCCAGCGGCGCCTCTTTCCTTGTACAAGGGTTTCGGAACCCTCCCTTTTCTTTCTCTAGTGGATCCGGGTTTGGGCTTAAGTTTTAGAGCCCAACCCGAATGTTTTACCTTCTTTTCCTTGTTTTAGAGAGTGCATAACAGAAAAACATCATTGTCTTAGTGGCAAGGCAGAATAGATATAATTATAGGAACCTGAGTTCAACCCCTGGTTCTTAATTTTTTAGTTTTAAGTCTTTCTTTTTTATTTTTAGCCTTATTTCATTTAAAATTCATACAAAAATATAAAAAATATTAGTAAAACTTATATTTAGATTTAGTTTAGTATTAACTTAGATTTTTTAAATTAGTTTCAATTTCTTATAATAATATTTGTTTTTTTTAGCTTTATTATTTAGTTTAATTTAATTTGGTTATCATTTGAGTTTTAATCTTTATCTAGTTTAGTTACTAATTATAGAATTTTCATTTAGTTTATTTAATTAACTTTAGAATTTTAAATTTAATTTATAATTAATTTAGCAATTTTTACAATATTATTTAGTTTAGAATTATTTTAGTAATCTTAAGTTAAGTTAAAATTATTTTAGTAACTTTAGGATTTTATTTCATTTAGGTTTGACTTAGTAAATTTTAGAATTTATTTGTTTTAGTTTTGACTTAGTAAATTTTAGAATTTTATTTGTTTTAGTTTTGACTTAGTAAACTTTAGAATTTTATTTTGTTTAGTTTTATTTTAGTAACTTTAGGATTTTATTTCATTTAGATTTGACTTAGTAAATTTTAGAATTTATTTTTAATTTAGTAAACTTTAGAATTTTATTTGATTTTATTTAAGTTAACTTTAGAATTTTAGTTGTTAGTTTTAGTCTAGGGACTTTAGAACTTTATTTGATTTAGAATTAGTTTAATGAGTTTATAATTTTTATTTGATTTAGAATTAGTTTAATAAGTTTAGAATTTTAGTTGTTTAGAATTAGTTTAATTTTCTTTTAGGATTTTATGTGATTTAGATTTAGTTTAGTAACTTTGGAACTCTTTTTGTTTTAGATTAGCAACCTTAGAATTTTTATTTAGTTTAGATTTAATTTATTAATTTTAAAATTTTTAATTTAACTTAGATCTAATTTAGTAATTTTAGAACTATTTTTGCAATCTTAGAATTTGTAGTTAATTTAGAATTTTTTAATAAGTAATCTTAATTTTTTTTAATTTAGTTTAAATAACTTCTTTAGACAATTAGTTACATTCTCTTTTATTTTATTTAAATATCTTTGTCATTTTAATTTCTCGATGCCTTTAGGTCATTAATCTGTTTCGTTATATTTATTTTCTTGTGAATTTTGATTGCTTATGTTTTGATGTCTATTTTATCTTTCTCGCTCAATTTATTCCAAGGGAAATGTTTTTAACTTTGTTGACTTCATGTCATCAAATATATTTGTTACAATCGTGCGAATACCCTCATCTATTTTTTGCTTATTTACTATTTTTTTCCAAACTTAAGATAATTTTCCCAAAAGACTCCATTTTCAAACTCATACCCTTTAAGTCAAAACTTCGACACTAGGTCGTCGTATCTTCAAAAATCTCGTCCATACCCATCTTTTAACCAAATAAACCATTTTAATCAAACAAACAATTTTAACCGAAAAACAGATATTTCAAAAGGTTCCTGCGGAGTACCGCAGATGCATTGGGTGCTAATACCTTCCCATTGTATAACTAACCCCCGAACTCTCGATCTCTTTCAAAACGCATTGTATTTTTATTACTTTTAAGTATTATTTTACATTGCATATTTTTAGGGTTTTATTTCGCTCTTTTCCCTTTTCCCTTGGAAATAATAAAGCGCGGTGGCGACTCTTGCTTTTGTGAGTCAAGTTAACTAATAGCTTGATCTCCGATTTTCACCGCCACACCGCCCCAGCGGTAAAAACAAGCATTGTTAAGGCGTTAGTGTACCAGCGCATGGGTTCGATCCTTGCCCCTAGAATTTTTATTTTCCATGTTTTTCTTGTTTACAGATCTGATGCAAAGCAGTCCAGCGCGCTCACCTTGTAACCTCACCTCATCACCATTGGATCTTCATAACCCCAGATCCAGTGTCTCAGAATGTCACACCCACGTTGGACCCTCACTTGAGAACAACATTGGATCCCATTCAGGCTTGGGCTCATGATTTTGGGCCTAACGAATTTGCTTCCCTTGCACCCCCCCAACTTTCTTCTTCACGCTCATATCTCCTTTTCTTTTATTTTTAATTATTTCATTCCAATTTATTTTATTTATAATAATTAAATTCTTTTAATTATATAATTAAACCAACTTAATCTTTTCTTAAATCTAAATTAACTTAAATAATTGTTTTTTTAATGGTCATTAAATAAATTTCTTTGGTTTAATTAAATTAATTAACTTAGTTTTCTTTAGGTTTTCATTATCAAACTTTTTATTTTTTAATAAAAAATAACTTAGGTTTTATTAGTATTTAATTATTTCCCTTTTCTCAAGTAAAAAAATCAATAAATCGTCACTTATTTTCTTCGTACAAGTCTCTGCGTGCTCTTTTATTTTTCGCATTCATATTTTTTATATAATTATGTAATTGTTGACGGTTTGTAATAGCTTTAACTAAGCTTTATTTTGCTTTCTGGTTCCCCCTAATTTTTTGGTTTGCACCCCCTTCCCCGATGCATTGTAATAGCGTAGGGCCTTATTTTATGTTTTTTACCGCTTTTACTTATTACTGAATAGTAATTAAGCGTGTATGGCAAGATAAAAAAGCAAACGATAGCTAACCCTAATGCAAGATAAAAATAACTGAATCATAACACACTTTGCACACACGCACCTCTAGGATAACTCCACCCATTGCCTTTGGATAAAAAACAATCATGTCCCCTGAATTGGGACACTTTAGCAAAAGACCCTCGGTTAAAAGATCGTAGTCCCTCGATGACCCTTCGATGCTTCCTTTGGTAAACAATCTTAGTCTCTTATGATAAATTGCTAAAGCGTCTTACGAGTTACCTCATTGACTGTACGATGACCCGCGCCTGTCCCTCAAACATCTAATGATAGGGCTACCTACTAACTAATGGTAGGATAGAAATATCTAAAGGAAGAGGAAAATAACGCGAAAGACTTTTTGAGTAGGTAGATAGCTCGTAGTCGCTTGCTCACAAACAAAAACATTTTTCACGCAAAACACTTCTTTCCTAAAATATTTTCAAAACAAATACTTTGTATGCGTTCCAAACGATACGAGAATCATTACAAATTTTCCGCACTTAGGCATTTTTTCAAATATTTTCAAATTAAACACACAAAATTTTCAAAAGTGAGCTAGCGATTAAGAGCCCGTAGATAACTACGGATGAAAAGGGTGTTAATACCTTCCCTTTTCATAACCTACCCCCCTTACTCAGAAAAATTCTCAAAGGTATTTCCTGTTCTTTTCACCCTTTCCTTTATTGGATAAAGGAAATGTCATTGGTGACTCTTGTTATCCACAACATTTGCGACAAAACGCAAAACAAAAAGTCAGTTCTCCCACCGTATTACAGAACTGACGACTCTGCTAGGGAAAACTAAAAGTGGGGTTACCTTAGAGTTAGATCACATTTAAAATGCTTTACTTTCTTGATTTGTATGCTTTACATTTTGGGGTTTTGCTAGGGTTATTTTTTTAAAGATTCTATACTCGGATCTGGGGGAATTTTAGGTAAGTAGCAATAGATCGTGAAAATGGTACGACATATATTGATATGGTTGAAGCGATGGCTACGTTAGTGTAACACATTGGTTGGTGTCGGTGTCCCTTGAGTTAAGTCAAAGAGAATGTTGGACTTCCGCATGGTTTCATAAAGCACTAACTAACCGTAGAACCTTAGTTGACACAACTCAGCCATTAGAAAGTAGTGAGATAGTCGGCTTTGGTGCAGACTGATGTTGGTTGATACTCGATGCTACACTCATTGAGATCAGACTCTGAGGATATTTCGATTGCAAATCAGATGCTTGTGCTGAAACAATGCCTGGGAGAAAGATCAGTGATATTGAGGCTCCTAGAACCAGGTTACTTTTCTTAGGACAGGTTGAGCCAACTAACACTTCAAGAGGGTACTTACCTACAAACTCCATGCAAGCTTAAACCTAAGGCCTTGTGTGTTTTGTTTGTGTGTGATTAATTGTTCTAACATGACATCATAACATCATGACATCATACCATATCATTTTCACTAACCATTTAAGACCCAAGGGGTTTATCTTTGTTCTTTGTTGTAGGTTATGGCCTCCGCTCGCAGAGACACTATCTGGATCAACTTTGTAAGTGTGACTCCTCAGCTTAAGGAATTAGTCTCAAAGGTTCCCGAAAGTTCTCCATTCAAAAAAGGCATGGTCGACTACTCAGTCTGGTTACCCCAGGTTTTGACGAAGACATGATGAGTGTTCTATTCCAGTTCTTTGACCCTGTACATCACTGCTTCACCTTTCCAGATTATTAGTTAGTACCCATAATGGAGGAGTTCTCTCAACTACTGGGAGTACTTGTTCTTGATCAGACACCCTTCACCGGTTTAAAGTAAGCTCTAAAACCAGAAGATATTGCAGCAGCCTTACATCTAAAGCGGTCTGACATTGTATCTAACTGGGAAACGAGAAGTGGAATCAAGGGTTTTATTACTAAATTTCTGATGGAGAAGGCTTAACTATATCTTGATGGTATGAGTTTTCAGGCTTTCGAGGAGATCTTGGCTCTGTTAATCTATGGATTGGTGTTATTCCCTAATCCAGACCAGCTCATAGATGTAAACACCGTCAAGATATTTCTTTCTCATTATCCTGTGCTTACCTTGCTCCGAGACATCTTACATTCTCTTCACACTCGTACTATGAAGAGGCGAGGAACTCTCATATGTTGTATACCTATGATATCCAGGTGGTTTATTTCTCACCTTCCTCGTTCGATAATAAAGAATGAACAAGGTTTGAGGTGGTCTCAAAGAATGATGTCACTCTCTCATACAGATATCTACTGGTATTCCCGACCTCATGAGGAAATTACTATCATTGACTACTGTGGGGAAATCCCTAATGTTCCACTCCTTGGCATTAGGGGAGGTTAGTTACAACCCTTCTCTAGTTCTACGTCAATTTGGTTATGCTCGAAGTGACGGTCCTCATGACACGCTTATCCAGGGTATTGTATTCGATTACGAGAACGATCCTCAAGGTTATCGTCAAAGGTTTATACATGCTTGGGGCATGGTAAGCAAGATTGATAGCAAGGCTTTAGGACAGAATAATTCCATCCCTCTGGAGCCCTATCTCAAATGGGTGCGAACTCGTGCTCAAAATCTTATGATGCCATATCCTGCTATCCTACCGGTAATCATGGAGCCTGTTGTCGAAGAAGACGTTTCTCATACCATCCTCCATCCAGACATGCCCACTGACCTTGAAGAATTTCAGAAGTCATGGATTCAACTCAAGGAAGAACGGGACACCTATGAGACTCAATTCCATGCAAGTGAAAAGAAAGTGTTGAAGCTCACGAAGCAACTTCATGAGAAGCAGAGTCTCAACGCATATATCAACACGAAGAGCAGGCGTCCATGGGAAACTTAGAGTTTTAGGAGTTTTTAATTTATTTCTTTGTAATTCTTTGTATTCACATAAACTTATTAATAAAAATCTTTGTTTCTATTTCCTTTTGGTTAGAAAATTTAAATCTCCTAAGGTCCTTGAAAACATTGCATATACATATCATGCATATCATTACATGACAGGTGTGTCAAGACAAGTTTCTTATCTTTTTGTTGTTTATTTCAGCAGAAAGAATGTCTCTTGAACAAACAGTTAAGGATATCCAGGCATAGAATGTAACACCCCAATTCTATCCCAAGTAATTAATCGAAAAATCAGAGTATAAAAATTTCCAACATAATTAGGAAGTCGCATATTCAACAAAAAAAAACATATACCTATCATGCTCTTAGAATAGTTACATAACACTGAAAGAAGCAAAATGAACACAACTCATGAAATAAGTCTTCATAACATAAACCAAACTTTGATTTAATCCCGCAGCGGATTCATAATAATTCTCTAAATAAGATATAACATCTTTTGAATCATAATTTAACATCAATATGATAAACTCCTCAAATAACAACATAAGGTTCAATAATTAAACAACAAAACAGACAAGCGTTCATTTCCCCCCGAGTGCTACATATCAGAGCAAATGACACCGAACTCGAACTAACAATGCTATCGGCTACTCATCTTGGTTACCTGTACGTTACCAACAAAAGGCAACATTTAAACAGAAGGGGTGAGATATCAAACTACATAAATAGGGTCATGATAAACAATATATTAGGTAAAGAATAAAAGAATCACCACCACATACAACAACAACATAAAGCAACACAATTTACCAAAACATCAATTCAACTTATAACATCACCAGGCATAAACAACACCTTAAACAAGCAACAAATCACGACTCCAAATGCGACTCAACTGTGCAAATGCATGTGGTACCATTGGAGCAGAACCCCTAACTTAGAAATTTCCAGTAATTTCGAGGCATAAAGCATAAGCCCTCAACATAAAATCTTGCCAACAAGGGCCAACATGGTGAGCATTCGCTCCAACTTAGAACATGCCAATCCAGGCCAACTTTAATGCTATGCTATGCTATGCAACGATATAAACAACTACAACTCGATAACACAACAACAACAACATAACAACGGTTGACATAACAACAAATCACACTGTTAAACATTGGCCAAAGGCCTACCACACAACATGTCAACTGAATCAACAACTTTTCATGGCAACAACATGTTCTTCATATATTCACTAGGATTCACACCATAAGGCTACTCACAGAAATGATTCATAATCACCTTATCAATATCGAATTCCACATATATTCAATGATATCTCGCAACATTAACACATTCATCAACCAACACAATATTAGTCATAAGGCCTATAATTAACCATGTCCATAAATCGGATGGAACGACTTGACCTACTGTACT